CCATTCTGCCAGCTCAACCTCAGGTTTTCCCAGGAGACCGAGTGTTTGGATTGGGGGTTTGTGAGCAGTGTGCTGCAACTTGCTTGATGGCAACGTCGACCATTTGTACCTGAAAATGGGGCGTTGTGCATGGCTCAGAAGTGCAAGTGGTTTCACCATACTGGACTGTGTGGGGCAAGTTGAAAGTACTATATATATCATAATAATGGCGCAGATTAAGTTTTAGACTGGGCCAGCAAGCAGGAAGTACTGTATATACCATAATAATGGCTCAACTTAAGTTAGCATTTTAAAAAAAGTGTTCCTGGGCAGTAAAGAATTACAAATATATGATAAAGCCAGATGAGTCATAAGGTTGGATAAATGTATGCTTGAAAGTGAGAAGAAAAAGAGTATAGAGAGTCATAAAATAAAGTTAATGCTTTAAAAAAGGGTAAAGTCTTTAAAGAGATAGAGTATAGATAATCAGAGATTACAAGGAGTAAAGAAAAATAAGCCATATAAAGATGGATTATACACAGAGAATCTGGGTTATGTATATTATTGTGTTTTCTTTGAGTTTCTTTGACTGTGAAGGAGCTAAATACAAAGAGATATTTCATTGTATGGGCTGCTAAGCTAAGCCAGCATGAATATTATAAAGGTATTGTGACTTCCAAAGTTGGGTCTAAGGACATGTTACTTTGGAAAAGAGGTTCTTCTTTTGTTTCCACAGAAGATGAGAACCCGTGGATTGCTTCCAGACAAATATAGTTTGATGGAACAAGACCCCCTGAAAGGTTGCTGTGAACACCCTCACAAAGAAAATACTTCACCCAGCAAACAGCAGGAAGAAGTTTGGACAGAACTGTGCCCATAGTCACAAATTTTGTTCACATTTAAAGGGGGGATAGTCTATAGAGATGAATAGTTTGCATTGGTATGGATCTTGGTTTATTGATACAAATTTATGGTCAATTTTGTTATATATATATATATATATATATATATATATATATATATTTGATCTTGATTAAGGTATTGTGTTTGTGTAGCTCATTTAAAAATATAATGTATAATTAAGAAATATAAGTTAATAGATACTCATCTTTAATAGTGTTGTTTTTAATCATGTTAGTTAGATTTTCTAGATGTATAGAGATATATTTCAGTTAGATAGGTATTCTTACAATCTTTTGGAGACCTTCAGAATATGGCATTTAAAAGTTTTAATAACTTAGGCTTTTTATGACAATGAGACACATCTGTTCTTGGCAGCACCAGTTACTTTGAGAGGAAGATGGATATCGAAGGGCTTCTTATCGAGTTGGTTAGTCATTTGGACAAAAAAAACTGCTCTTGCCTGATCTGCATGTGCAGAACTCAGAGAGAAATGACTGCTGAACTTGCCTAAAGGTGAGACAGTCCTTAAGGGTTCCTGTTTCATGAAAGAGTCTGCTAGACATTCTGCAGGACACCGAAGAAAATAACTTGCAAACTTATAATATAGGCAGAAATGTCTTTGAAATGTCCTGTTTTGTGGAAAAGTCTACTGAATATTATGGTCTTGTAGGCTGAAGATGGATGCACTATGGTACAGAACTTTGAGTGACTGTCCAGGTAGCAAGATGTCTCCTTCAATTCTAGAGTTTTAAAAGTTGTTTACAATGTATTTCCTGTTTACTTAGGTAATATTATACCCTTCTGGAGTCTTTGACAGAGTTGAAGAATTTATAGTCATAGCTATAGTTTTCCTTAATTATGATAAAAGATTAAGTAGATATAAATATTATAACTGTAATTCTTATTTGATACCTGTTTTGTTATATGCAATTTTACTATATTAAAGTTAAAATTTTCCTCTTTATTTAAACAGAAAAGGGAAAATGGTGTGGGAGGACTTCTGTCTATGTGTTGCTTTTATTGGTTAATGAATAAAGAAACTGCCTTGACCTCTTGATAGGGCAGAACTTAGGTAGGCAGGGAAAGCTAAACTTAATGCTGGGAGAAAGAAGGGTAGAGTCAAGGGAAGCTGCCATGGAGCCACCACAGGAGATAGACGTGCTGAAATGTTGCTGGTAGGCCATGACCTTGTGGTGATGCACAGATTAATGGAGATGGGTTAAATTAAGATGTAGGAGTTAGCCAATAAGAAGTTAGAGCTAATGGGCCAAGCAGTGATTTAATTAATATAGTTTCTATGTGATTATTTTGGTTCTGAACAACTGGGATGAACAAGCAACTTCATTCCTCCAACAACTTTGAACATAGTTGAGCACATGTCCTTGTGGTACAATTAAGTACCTTTTGAATATATACCCAAAAGTGGTATTGCTGGGTCTTAAAGAAGGTTGTTTCTTAATTTTTGAAGAAATCGCCATACTGATATCCAAAGGGGCTGTACCTGTTTGAATTCCCACCAGCAATGCAGGAGTGTTCCCTTTACCCCACAACCTCCCTAGCATAAGTTGTCATCAGTGTTTTTGTTCTTGGCCATTCTTACAGGTGTAAGATGGAATCTCAGAGTTGTTTTGATTTGCATTTCTCTGATGGCTAAGGATGTTGAACTTTTTCCTTAAGTATCTTTCAGCCATTTTAGATTCCTCTGCTGAGAGTGCTCTGTTTAGGTCTGTACTCCATTTTATAGTAGATTATTTGTTCTTTCGATGACGAATTTCTTGAGTTCTTAGAATATTTTGGAGATCAAACTTCTGTCTGATATGAGGTTGGTTAAGATCTTTTCCAATTCTGTAGGCTGTCGTTTTGTCTTATTGACTGTTTCCTTTACTTTACAGAAGCTTTTCAGTTTCAGGAGGTCTCATTTATTAATTGTTTCTCTCAGTGTCTGTGCCACTGGGGTTATATTTAGGAAGTGGTCTCCTGTGCCAATGCATTTCAAGTGTATTTCTCACTTTCTCTTCTATAAGGTTCAGTGTGGCTGGCTTTGTGTTGAGGTCTTTGATCCATTTGAACTTGAGTTTTGTGCATCGTGATAGATATGGGTCTATTTTCATTGTTCCACATGTTGATATCCAGTTATGCCAGCAGCACCATTTGATATATATAGTCAATGAGCTGAGAGTTTACATCTCAATCCTTGACTTTAACATTTGTCTTTACATTTTTAAGCCTGAACAGCAGATATCCACTATTCTGTTTAGACCATTGACATCGGGTTCATCTCCACTGTTTGATGTAGACACATTTACCAGTGTCACCCTTGTACCACCAGTGAGTTTCATGGGTGTCCATTTGAAGCTCTTGAGTTGCATGCTTTGGTGGGTTTTCTTGCTCAAGAGAGTATCAAGCTGTTTTCACAGGCTGCATCAGGTCATTTACAGGAAGAGTTGAAATAGTAGCACTGCTATGTTTATGCTGATCCTACTAACCTTGGTCAAGATGCGCAAGCAACCCAAACACCTACTAACTGTAAAAGGATAAAAATGCATAGCAGAAAGACCAGTGCTGTGTGATTCTACTCAAGTGAGGTTTCTTAAAGTAATAGTCATGGAAGAAAAGAGTAGGTAGGTTCTTTCCAGGGTATGGGGTAAGTGCCATAGGATCTGGTAATCTTTGGCTGTTAACTTCCAATTGTCCCAGAGATCTGATGGATGGTATTGGGTTGTGTGTGTGTGTGTGTATGTGTGTGTGTGTGTGTGTGTGTGTGTGTTATGGTACAATACTGTCCTCTGAACCAAACAACCACCATCTTGGAGCATTCATCGGTGGCCCTTTGTAAGAGATCATCCCAGCTGGTCTTTGCTACTGTTCACATTTCTCACAGAAAGGTGAGAGAGTCAGGTATAGCATGAATAATAAAAACCCAGAGACAGATATTGGGGTTCAACTGAAAGGTCAGAGAAGTAAAGCAGCCAACCACTAGAGAGCTCTTGCTTCTAAGAAATCTTCAGACTGAAAAGAGAGCAATTTCCCATCTCATCCCACTAATATATTCCCCTCTAGTGCTGGTATTAATGGCATACACCACCACTGCCTGGCCTCTATGAGTAACTAGAGTGGCTGCTGGGATTAAAACTGTGTGCTATCACTGCCTGGCCTGTATGTCTAGCTTTGCACTCTGATCTTAAGGGAAGATTTACTTGTTAGATCATAAACAAAATATCATCACAGTGAGGAGTGCCTCACCTGAGTATCTAGCTAATTTCTACCACCAATTGTGTACAACTCTGCTCTAACTGAGTATGGTCTGGGGAAGGGGCTAGAGTATCTAGGCCAGGGAATACTAGAGGTGAGGCTCCTACTCTGTAGCTATAGGAAAGCCCTCATCCCTGTTGGGTAAAGACATTCCAGTGTAGTCCTTTCAGGGAGGTACATGCACACTGCTGTAAGCAGTCCCTCATCTGTGTTCTATAAGGAGGCCCAAAAAACTCACTGAGTCCACAGAGTCAAATCTTAGGGAATCCTGTTTTGGCTTCTTGGTGGGACCTTATTAGGAATAGGTGCTGTTTGTGTTTCTTCAGGGAAGGGATTTTAACAACATTGTGTATGTATGTGTGTGTGTTTAAGAAAGATAGAAAGAGATAAATAATATTATTGTACAATAAAAAGTCTTTTGAGCATGTGAATCTACTATCAAGTGATTTGTCCAAGTGTAATAATGACAGACAACATGAAATGAAAAATAGTCCAGAATTTATTTATTTTCCACACATTTTTGATAATTTTATTTAAAGTATCTTTCTCAGTTGTTCAGAGGGAAAGATGAACATCTGGGCTCAGAAGAAAAGCTGAGGACTGGGCTTCGTTCAGAGAGAAAAGGAGAGTGAGAGTGAGTGGACTTGCATTCCATCAAGGTGACTGATAGGCTTCTGAAGTGGTCATAGCCTCAGATGATAACGGGAACCTCTGCCCACATGGCAAGACTGGCGTGACACAAGGACAGTTGTTTGGGCATTGTTCAGTTGGAAAGTTGATGAGCAGTAGGCCTGGCAGCAGCTGGACTCACAGCAGCTGGACTAGAGTCCCCAGGTGGTCTCAAGCATTGGTTTACATCAGGTGGTCTAGCAGCAGGTGGTTTCAGAGCAGGCTGGGCAGCAGCAGGGCTCACAGCAGCAGGGCTCACAGCAGCAGGACTCACAGCAGCAGGGCTGGCAGCAGCAGGACTCATAGCAGCAGGGCTGGCAGTAGCAGATTTCACAACAACTGGGTTGGCAGCAGGGTGGACAGCAACAGCTGGTCACACAGGTTGGCTTACAGCAGGTGGTCTTGCAGCAGGTGGTTTCGCAGCAGCTGGGCTGGCAACAGGGTGGACAACAACAGCTGGTCACACAAGTTGGCTTACAATAGGTGGTCTTGCAGCAGGTGGTTTTGCAGCAGCTGGGCTGGCAGCAGGGTGGACAACAGCAGCTGGTCACACAGGTTGGCTTACAACAGGTGGTCTTACAGCAGGTGGTTTCACAGCAGCTGGGCTGGCAACAGGGTGGACAACAGCTGGTCACACAAGTTGGCTTACAACAGGTGGTCTTGCAGC